GATCACGAGCATCCAGTAGTTTTACAGCCTTGACCCTTACGCACAGCGATTGTTCCAGATTCTCTGAATCTTTTGATAAAGTTATGCATGGTTGATGATGATAACTTTAAAGTCTTTGCTATTTTACCCTGGGTAACACCATTCTGGTATTGCTGCACTATCTTTCTGTGCAACAATGGTGGAATTGGTGATCCTCTTACCATCTTGGCTTCTGAGAGACACTGACACTCTGAGAAGCTCTTTTTATACCCAATCATGTTGTCAATTGACCTAATTAGTGTTAATTGGTCTTCCAGCTGTTCGTTATATGCTCAATTTCCTTTTTCCAGCCACTTATTGCTACTTGTCCCAACTTTTTTGAGATTTGTTGACACTGTGAAATTTTGAATCAATATATTTTTCCTTTAAAATGTTACATTTACTCAGATTAAACTTTTGATCTGTCATCTATGTTATATTACGAATAAAATATTGACATTTGCCATCTCCACATCATTGCATTCAGTTTTTATTCACAATTTGTTTAGTGTCCCAACTTTTTTGGAATCCGGTTTGTATAATGTTCAGCTCATTCAGGAGGTGGGTACTGTGACTGCTGGTTTTTGTAACTTTTACACTAATCAAAATATTTAACTTTGTATATTTCCCCCACAGGAATCTGCTTCACTTGCTCTATGTTTATTGTCCTGTACTGCTTTAAGTTTGTTGCTACCATTCTGCTACTTTTAGCTTCTAGCTTGTGCTTCTTTTAACTTTGTGTCACCCTTTTAGCTACCACTCCTCTACTTCTAGTTAACACTCTGCTTCTTCTAACTTCAACAACGCAGTTTTGGTTCTTCGGCAAATTTCAGCTCCTAGCATTATTTTCTCTAGTTTATCATTATCCTGGCTCTACATAATCTAAACTTTCCAGTTACTTTATGAAACTAAAAAAAATATATATAAAACTTTATGAAACTACTTTCACTGATAAAAAATAAAAATGAAGCACCCAGACAAAGTGGTGGACCGACGTGAAGCGTGTTGAAAGGTCATGTGACTATTACAATGATTACGATGTGAGATCAGTCCGAGCACACTGTTGGTCCCGCGTCAGGAAAGTATCCTCTCAAGCCTGGCTTATTGTATCTTCTACAAGTCAACCTACAGCTGTATGTCTTGTAATTGATCGACTGGGGAAAGATTAAGGCATTGGGAGAACCCCCAACGTGACGCAGGCACTCCATAGACCCACATGCAGCGTGTTGGTTCCAGTGTTCTCCGAAGGCGTTTAGACATGTGGACACAGGATGTCACTGATGTAGTGCTGTGCACTTCCCTCTTAATGCTTGACACACATCACGATGATCTTCCCTTGGGATGGTTTGTTTTGGGTGACCAGAACCTTCACGACTGGTGCGGATCATTGGTTCTAACACCAGACCACCGTCACATCAGCATGGCCCCAATGTTGGGTAACTGCAGGATACAACCACCTGGGCTCATTCAAACCTACAATGCTACTCTAAGTGCTTCTGATGAGTCCTCCTCTGGTGACCTTCCCTCCATGTTTTGATTGACAGCTGAAGCTCTCTGGTTATTGCCAGACACCAGTATTGCTCCATTACACCATCTGGTGTCAGCTCCCTGCAAATCAAATCATTAACATCCCCATCGCTGGTACCAGACTCCTTTGGGCGTTTATGTTTTCTTGTCAGAGAATGTGTATATTACACACAGAGGAGCGTCAGTCTGACAAACTTGGCACGGTGTTGTCAAGTATACAGACAGCTCAGTTAGGGAATTGTCTAGAGTGGACGTAGAAATCTCGAAGTTTAGAACTATTTCATTACAACTTGGTTTTCATTATCTCTCCCATTCCAATGTGTCTTATGTCATGTGTCATTAAAGACAGGACTACATGATACAGATTCATCTTATCACATGGGAGTC